ACGTCTACACTGCACAGTTATTTTGGGATACCAGAAATATTTTGGGCATGCTATTTTGTCATCCCGGTAAACCTTGTCGCACAAGGGATGGCTTGAAATAGCGCATTATTTTGAAATCTGGCATTGTGAAGACACACCTAATTTCAAAATAAGATATTCTGAAATAGGTTAGAGATAAAATACTCAATTTGCATAGTGCAAATTGCGTATCTTATTTTGAGTTGAGGGGGCTGTGTAGATGCACTCCAAATGTTCCTACATAATGAGAGGCACACAGATTATTTGACAGCAGGGATATATCTACTCAGTAATGCTCTCCTTTCTCTTAGTTCTTCACAATCCAATTGGAGAAGATAAACTATTCATATATAAAAAAGGATACATTAAAATGTCTATTGAGAAAATACAGAAGCTCAAAAGAACCTTCCCTGTACATAGTAATGCAGTGTCACAGAAGTAAGCCTGACTTGAAGAAAATAAATCAGATAAACTATACTAGAAGTGTGAACTTTGATTGCCCTCTTCACCTTATACTCCACAGACTGGATCATTAACTTTTCAGTATATAGAGATGACTGGAGAAACTTCATAAATAAAACCACAGGTTGAGACAGAAAACCAGTGTTTACAAAATATACTTACTGTACTTTTTCCAGCTAGAGGAGGGTGGAATTGAGCTTCCTTAAAGAACCCCAAACTCTGTAACTTTTTGAATGGCAGACAAAAATCTTTATTTTAGACATAGTTCAAAATCCCAATTTTTTTCTTTTCAAAATCTTACTATCAGTCACAGGGAAAATCCTACATGCTTTATGGCTACATGACTCTATATCCTCAGTTATTCCATAGACTAACCCTGCCCACTCAATAACTGTGTGTGTGTGTGTGTGTGTGTGTGTGTAAAATATAAAATGAGCTATGAAAGTACTTCCCAGGCTAAAGGAACATTTTTATACATAAATTTAATGTATTAATCTTCACACCAGTGCTGGGAGGTAATTTGGTATTATAATTTAATATTATCTTGTTTAAAGATGGGGAAACTGAGGCACGACTCTGTCAACTTGCCCAAGGCCACCAAGCAAGCAGCAAAGCTGAAATTAGAACTGGGAGATCCTCATGGCCACCCTTGTGCCCATTTTCCTTTTATATTACACCCTTTTATATTACCCTGCCTAGAGATGCCTAAGGGGGTGTCTTTTACATCATTTATTAACCCAAGATATAGGCAACTGGTATGGAGACAATGTAGCCATGAGTTTTACTTTTAATATTTGTCCTGTTCTAAGTGTTACTGTGCCTTGGATATTTCCATGTCATCAGTTGATAAAGAATTATTAGCATATGTTGACCTGAAAACCTCCTGAATTTAACAGAAGAATAATGCAATTTTATTAAATGCATCAGCAAAACTGGCTATGATAAAGTGGCCAAATCTGTAACAACTTTTGGTCAGCAAGAGAAGTGTCAGCTCCAACAGCAGACCTTACAGCTTTTTAAGCTATGTAGACTTGAGACAGCAGATAGCAGGATCAGCATCAAAAGTCTGAAGGTCCTTGAAAAATCAAACTACCTTAATATTCTTTATTATTTGTAACATGTCACAGCAGTTTTGGAATCCTGTCTAAAGTAGATCAGAGGGCCACTAATTCAGTAGATGGGAGTCCTGTTCTTTAGATGGATTTTTTTTTTGCATATGTACATAGAAAACTCTATCAGAAGTAACTGCATTAGGAATGGACAGTTGTTTTTGATCTGTGATAAAGTAAATGAAACTCTAAATTAGGAGTAAGGAACCTTTTTTCCCAGCCAGGGACCACTGATCCACCAGAAAAAACAGATGGGGGAGGGAGCCACACAAGATAAAAAAAAAAAGCCCAATCCTCACACACTTTTAATTAAGCTCATGTCATGCTCTAGCTTACTACTCACCTGCTCCCAAGTTGTGGTTTAAAGTCAAAGGTTCGGAAATGTGGCTAGTCCCAGGGAGGCGCAGAAACAGGCAAACTATTACTAAATATCTTTTAAACTTTTATTAAAGGGCTTCTACGTATAAATTATGATTTTATCAGTTTCTTACATACGTAGGCACTAATTGAGGTTTCTCTAAATCCCAATAGTTGTTAACAAGGGACTAGGGATTATTAACAGTTACATTTACATCAGTCTTACTTATAAGACTAATCATTTATCTAAAACTTTTAACACTACTACTTAACAATACCTCTAAACAATTTCAGATAACAATACTTACATTTAACAGACACACAAACTACAACAACAACATATTTGGTATTTGTTATGTTTGGTATACGTTACGCTCTACAGGAACTCGTTTGGTTCGGTGAGCGGGAGGTGGCCCTTGGGTGATCAGTCCTCGGACCTGGCTCATATTCCGCCATCCAATGTTTATTCGGGATTCCTCAATTTGATACAGGAGGGGAAGCTGTTTTATAGAGAGTTTTTGCGCGCTTTTTGTGATAGGCTAGCAGACCCTGTCTGCTAAGTGACAGGGGTAAGGGGGTGAGATGGTTTCCTGTTTTTCCTTTTCTGCCTTATCGGGCATGGCACAGTCAGCACAACCAGCACGAACTTTACATGAACTTTTTAGGTCTGGTTTTGGTTCCTGTTCGTCGCTGACCTTTAAGTTACATAGTGTAAGGGTTTTTATCAAGGGGAAGTTGACCTTTTGCTTGGATGGCAATACGCGCGAGAGGCCTGGCCAGCAAAGAGCCTGCTTCCACACAAGTGAGAAGCTAAAAAACAAACAAAAAAACCCCCACCTTCCCCCAGTTACTCAAACTTACCTTGATGTGTACCACACTCTAGTCATGCAGAGAGAGGGGGAAGCATGGAGGGTTGGGGCTTCCCCTGCAGCACAGAGACTTGCTATGGGGCCAGATCAAATTAAGCCAAGGGGTGTAGGTTCTCAAATCCCGCTTGAAATGACCTAGTAAAAGCCAACATGGCATCTATCCTTTCAAACCTGGCATGCTCCATTTCCAATTTTAGGGATTAAAAATGTACAGGGCAATCCAATGCTATGTGTGATTTGCTATTAGCTTGTTTGTGCATCTTTAAGTGCTTTGTAAGTAGACTATTAAGAGGAGGTGCAAGGAGAAGCTGTACCTATCTTGTTAAACTGCACCCTAGGTGCATGTCTAAACTACATATCTCTTTCGAAAGAGGGATGTAAATTAGACAGATCAAAATTGCAAATGAACCTGGGATTTGAATTTCCCGCACTTCATTTGTATAATGGCGGCCATGCATTCTTTTGAAAACAGGTATTTCGAAAGTGAAACTGCCGTCTAAATTAAATGAGGTTTACGGGATCTTTTGAAAAAGGGTTTTTTTTTTCCCAAAAGAACCGTGTCTACACAGCAGTTTCAATTTCGAAATTTGCTCTTCTGAAAAAGGGATGAAGTTTAGACATAGCCTCAGTGCTTTCAATTATGATGCTTCAGAAGTTTCAGCTATTTCATGAGAAATATTGGACAAACATATTCTGAAGTCAATTACAAAACTGAAAAGAAAAAATAGACCATACTGTACAATTTGTAAATGTTCAGTACAATTTCTGCAAATTTCTTTAAATCTTCATTGAATTCGGATAAGCCCGATAAAGTTAACTCATGTGAGCAGCCTTCTTGAAAAGAACATGACTGCCAGTGAGAGTAAGAATAACTTGTGGGTGTTTGGGTTATAGAATCAAATCTCAGAACTTCTGTCAATTTTGCTTCAAACTTCAGGATTAATTGGAGTGAATGGACAAGATTTGGGGGTTGTTGTGTATAACTAGCTGACCATGAGCTCTCAATGTGATGAAAAAAAAAAAAAAAAACCCCACAATCCTGGAATGCATAAACAGGGAAATCTTGAGTAGGAGTAGAGAAGCTATTTTACTGCTATATTTGGCATAGGTACGACCATTATTGGAATACCCTGCCCAATTTAGGAGTCCACAATTCAACAAGGATGTTGATAAATTGGAGAGGGTTCAAAGAAGAGCCATGGAAATGAATAAAGATTTAGGGTATGTCTACACTACCCTGCTAGTTCGAACTAGCGGGGTAATGTATGCATCCCGAACTTGCTAATGAAGCCCGGGATTTGAATTTCCCGGGCTTCATTAGCATAAAGCCGGCGCCACCATTTTTAAAAGCCGGCTAGTGCGAACCCTGTGCCGCGCAGCTACACGCGGCACGGGCTAGATAGTTCAGACTAGCTAGCTATTCCGAACTATCTGTACACCTCATTCCACGAGGCATACAGATAGTTCGGAATAGCTAGCTAGTCTGAACTATCTAGCCCGTGCCGCGTGTAGCTGCGCGGCACAGGGTTCGCACTAGCCGGCTTTTAAAAATGGCGGCGCCGGCTTTATGCTAATGAAGGCCGGGAAATTCAAATCCCGGGCTTCATTAGCAAGTTCGGTATGCATACATTAGCCCGCTAGTTCGAACTAGCAGGGTAGTGTAGACATACCCTTAGAAAACATGCCTTATAATTTCACACACACAGAGTTTGATCTATTTAGATTAACAAAGGGAAGGGTGGGGCTGACTTCATCCCAGTGGGGAAAAAATGTATGAAAACAGGCTCTTTTATGTAGCAGACAACAATGTAACACAATAAAAAGTCTAGAAGTTGAAGTTAGACAAATTCAGACTGGAAATAGGGTGTAATTATTTTTTAATTTGGGTATTAATCACTGGAAGAATTTACTAAATGTCACAGTGGATCCTCCATCCTGACAATTTTATACAAAAGATTAGATGTTTTTCTAGAAGATATGATCTAGGAATTATTTTGGAGAAATTCTATGGCCTGTATTTTACAGGAGGTCAGATTAGATAACCACAACGATCCCTTCTGGATTATCTACCAAATTTCCTTTTCTAAAAAAGCAAAATTATAACCAACCTTTTAGGAAGAATTCCTTGACCGCTACTTAAAAAACCCAGATCCATATTATTAGTGATACATTAGTGTAGTGTTACCTGGGAAGCAGGTTGTTAGGTGTTCCATTAGTGCTTCTTGTGTGACTTGCTTTCGTGCAGAGTTCATTGCTGAGATGGCCAAGCAAAGGATTTCTCCAAGTGGAATAAACTGTGACTGACTAATCGGAGACATACTGATTGGTGATACATCACCTATAGAAAGACAATAGAAATTAAGAAAGGGTTTTCTGTGAACATTGCTGACAGAACAAATGTACAGAGATGTATCTATGACAATATGCAAAATTCTGTATTATTTATATCACTCTTGTGATGATACCTTCTAAATAAGATCAACAATTTATTAGTGAAGTTGAAGACACAACATATTTTTCACACTGAAGGTGTTTTAGGATGTTCAGGGAATATTTTCTTAAGCCCATGAAAATTAATGTACACCATTGCAACTGCAGAACCCTAAATTTGAATATGCAAAGCAGGAGCTTTGCCCACAAGTGTGCATTTGTGAATGTGTTTTTGCAAGCATACCCAATGTTCTCTCTTTTTATAGACTGTCTGCATAGAACATTTCACGTTTGTCCTAGAGATAGCTTTTTTTAAATGGCAACAAAAATTAGAAAAAGAAAACTTTGGAAGTGTTAATGAGCAACTGCTGGCCAGCTCTACTAAGCCCTCTGCTCAGTGGCACAAAAGCAGCAAATACCCTAAGAATTATGTTCAGAAGAGCTCCTTCCTTGGTATGGAGATTAAATGACTTTGCATGACTGTAGATTAAAATAAGCAGTTTTGAAGTTGTGGTGAGGAAATATAAATAAATATAAAATGTCATCTGCCTTAGGCGAACTTTATTTTAACTTGCCAGGTTACTTACCCAAATAATTTTCCCCATGAAGTCTTTAAAATATATTTTATTAGCCAATATTTTAAAAGCACTAAAAAACTTTTAAATTTAAAAAGTTACAGCTTGAGAAACAATTTGATGAGATAAAGAGTACAGTATGTATACATTTGAAGTCTGCTCTTTATCTCCAGATGGTCCCAAAAGTACAGCAGTGCTTCCTACATAAGCAGTGAGAAAGCAGAAGGATTGGAGGTTTCCTTAATCATAACAGAACTCTAAATAGTAACAATGGGCAGAAGAATTGGGGTTAGGAGTCCAATTGGAATCTGATCAATCACTGGGAGGCAGGTTTAGATTAAATGACCTTGAAACGTCATGAGCTATTTTCATGAGATTTCAGTGAATTTGAACAACTGGAACGCAGTTTGGGATCAGATCAGAAACCAAAAGTACGGAAGTGGGTTCAAATGTATGACTTCAAATCCAACCCACTCCTGAAATTCAAAGGATGCTCCAAGTGTGGTCCAATAATTTTAATTGTCTTATTTTTCACTATGCAGGTATAGTATGCTTGCATAAGGTTAAAAAATGGAAAATCAAATTAATCTAATCATAAGCAATAACAGAACTGTTGTAATGAGTATTTTGTAAAAAAAGTTTTTATAGTTGTTTTAGGTTAACACTATTTATTATATATCTATTTCAAATATGCCAGTTGCATATTCTGTTGTATTGTAAGGATACATGTTTTAAACAACCACACATACAAATAAGGAGGAGGATTTAAAATAAGTTTATTCGTGCTGTATCTCTCTAGAACACTACTGCACACCACCTAAAAAGGTTTCCATTCTGCAATTGGATATATTCTGGCAGACCATAGGACCTATACGGAGATCCACTGACTTTAGCTGAACTCCGTGTAAGTGAAAAGATCTGCCCCATGTATATTTATTTGACTTCAGGTCAGGGGCCTCGTTTAGATGTTCTTTAGAGTATTCTTATTTTACTTGTCTGCAAAATACCTGGCACATTACTAGATAAGAACGGCCATACTGGGTCAGACCAAAAGTCCATCTAGCCCAGTATCCTGTCTTCTGACCGTGGCCAGCGCCAGATGCCGCAGAGGGAGTGAACAGAAACAGGAAATCATCAAGTGGTCCCTCTCCTCCCATCCATTTCCAGCCCCTGACAAACAGAGGCTAGAGACATCATTCCTATCCATTCTGGCTAATAAGTATTGATGGACCTAACAACCTCCATGAATTTATTTAATTCTTTTTTGAACCCTGTTAAAGTTCTGGTCTTCACAACATCCTCTGGCAAGGAGTTCGCTGCGTGAAGAAAAACTTCCATTTGTTTGTTTTAATCCTGCTCCCGGGATGACAAGAATGTCTCGGGCCAGCCCTGGTCACTAGGCGGGCGCACATAAATGCCCAGGCGGGCTCCATAGCGCCCGCAGGCACCACACTGGGGACCACTGCTCTAAGCTACACAGCAGCACAGCTTCACAGGTGATTAATCAGCCCTGCCCAGTCAATCAACTCTGTGCAGGGAGCCCTGAGCCTCTGTGAAGCTATGCTGCCATGCAGTTTAGAGGGAACACTGGTCCCTGTGTTGCCCCACCTGGCTGAGGATCCCGGGGGACGGGGATCCCAGCCAGTTTGTGCTACCGGGCATCGGGGCTCTCTGGTTCAGCAACATCCGTGGTCCGGTATTTACGGACCAGAGAGTCCTGGATTCTGGCGGTTTAACCTGTATTACCATTTTTTTTTTTACTAATTTAAACATGTCCATGTTGTTTTATGCCAGTATGAAATACATTCCGCTCCTATACATTTGGAAATTGTTGTGATTTTTTCTTTTAAACACTTGAACGCATTTTAAATTCAAAAGGAATATCTGACATATATTAGTCTTGTAAAAGGCTATCACAATTCACTCCTTGCTAATTCCTCTGAGAGTTGATTAACTTAGTTCATCATGACAAGGCAACCCTCATTCATCTTCACTGCTGTTAGAAAGTTGTCAATAAACCATTTATTAGCGATAATTTGAGATTCTTCAAAAAGAAAAACAGAACATTTGTAAAACTTACAGTAGAGCTAGTGATAGAGAGCCAGAGAGATCCAGACTTATGGGGGTACTAATTTGCCAAGTTTTATTTTACACACCCTTGGGCTCTGGGAAGTTCAAATATGAAGAGGTTATATTTAAGTGAACAAATTCTTTGATGCACAGCAACAGAAAGTATCTTGTGTACAATTTAATTTATTATATTAACACCAATTATATGTATAAATACCATTTAACCTTTTGGATACAAGACTTACAACAATCTTTTCAGGAAAGATTGGTTTTACAAAAATCAAATATTCTTTTCCAAAAACTTTTTTTTTGTAGACCTCAACCCTTTATACAGAATTCAGCATATGGCTCCCATTAACTCAGAGTGATGTTTTTTTTCAAACAGCTTTCCTTTGAAATCAAATTACTATTCTTGACTTTCAAATGTTTATGTTCAAAATTAGAAGAAAAACTGTGGAACCCAGAAAGCAGCTTTCACCAGCTGACTGTATTTTTTGTTTAAATATCATCAAGCTTCTAGAAGTATACGGTTTCAATTCCATTTCAGCTTCTAGTAGAAAGAAACAACAGTCAAACTTTAAAAAAAAAAAAGAATTATAATAAAATATCTCATCTGGGACCGGTCAGGTCCCAAGGGTGCCAGACAAGGGAGGGCCAACCTGTATATGAAAATTAAGAGAGAGTCAGTCATAAATAAAATAAACACATATCTCTTAAATGGAATTTTTCTTGCATGGATCTCAAACCACTTTACAGAGATGGTTAAATATTATTTATTTTTTACAGATGAGATACCATGGCACAAAGAGGTTAAGTGATTGCTCCAGGTTATACACAATCAGTACAAGAGTTGGAAATAAAAATCCATGAAAAACCCATGCTTCAGTGCCCTATTTACCAGATCTGTTATATACTATTTAGTTCAGTATACCTGCTTCCTGTATGTCTGAATCGAATCTGCTTATTTTACTGACAAAAAGCAGTTTTTCAGTAGAGATTGCATTAAAGGCAAAACATTATGAAAGACAAACAGACTGCATTCTGCTCTATGCATTAGCCACAAAAATGTTAGCTAAGTTCTAACAATAGAATCTTTATTAATGATTAAGTGGTTAGAAAGAACAGAGTATAACTTCCAGCTTTCCGTCTCAGTTTACAGGGAGAGCAGTTAGAAAAATCATCACTGACTTATAAATGGAGGCGATTCAATGCATCCATTGAGACAGAAAATATGAAAAATACAATGTTTTCACAGAGTCACTTTTCAGAGCATAACCACACTTTATTAGAATTTATACACTTATTTCCTCACGTATGGGGAAGAACCCCCCTAAGTGCACTTCTGCAATTCAGTGAAATGTAAGAAGCTCAAATGTAACCAATTCTTCCCCTTTTCCCTGCCACTCAAAGCTCTTTAACCTTTTGTGGTACAACAATTTTCTTCAGATAAACTTTAAACATTATATTATTAATAAGGAAATTTCAAGTTATGACATTACAGCCCAGGAGGTTTTGCATTAGAAATGCCTTAGACAGATTTCCATGCCAACACACTGATATCTTCAGCATATGACTGTGACTTCACTATGAGATCAAGCAAAAGGAAAAGCTTGTTTGTGATAATGGAGAACCTCTTCTTCAAACAAAAGATAGCTAACAGCAGCAGCTGGGGGTGAGGGAGAGAGATACTGAAAAATCCAAACAAGCTCCTCATATAAATATTTTCTTTCCACGTTTACCTAACATCCCCTTTTGAAGGGACATATTTCCAAAATTACTTATTGTGAGCCTAACTGGTGCATATTGGTAGATACAACAAACAAGTTATACATTCGACTTGGGTTGCATCCTCTTCTCTAAATTTCAAGGTGAGGTCAGTCATATTATTTCCAGAATAGCCCACATCATAGGTTAACATACAAACATTTAAAAATGTCATTTCAAAACAACAACGTACAAGTGCATATCAAATTGCCACTTGAGACTTTATGGTACCTTTTAACCACATTAAACAATAGAGAGATGAAAGAACATGCAGCTTCTGATAGCATTAAAAATGCTAGATTCCTAAAACATTAGCTCTAGGATAATGTACTAATTTAGAAATAAACCTAATTTATTATCCACCACTAAAATTTTAAAAAATATGTTGTCCAGTCCCAACTAAACATCCTTTTCAACCATAATTGAGCCTTCCTTGTAAGTTGATGTATCGTTCTTTTTCTTTAAATCATATTTCCAGACTTATTTCACTAATATTACA